GTGTGAGTGTGGTGCTGAGTGGGTGGGAGTGGGAGTGTGATACGGGGTGTGCGTGATACAGGGTGTGCGTGTGGTGCTGAGTGGGTGTGAGTGGGAGTGTGATACGGGGTGTGCGTGATACAGGGTGTGCGTGTGGTGCTGAGTGGGTGGGAGTGTGAGTGTGGTACTGGGTGGGGGTGAGTGCTGCAGTGTGTGTGAGCGATACTGTGAGTGTGATACTGGGTGTGCGTGTGGTACTGGGGGTGCGTTACTGGGGCTGTGATACTGGGGGGTGTGAGTGTGAGATACTGGGTGTGTGAGAGTTTGGGGGTGTGATACTGGGTGTGAGATACTGGGGGTGTGAGTGTGTGTGTCTGTAATACTGGGGGTGTGAGATACTGTGTGTGCACGGGTGTGACTGATACAGTGTGTGTGAGTGATCCTGTGAGTGTGATACTGGGTGTACATGTGGTACTGGGTGTGTGATATGGGGTGTGTGTGATTGTGGGTGTGATACTGTGAGTGCAAGACACTGGGTGTGTGAAACGGTGCGCGTATGATGCTGGGTGTCAGTGTGATACTGTGCATGTGAGTGTGAACGTGTGTAATGGTGGGTGTGTGATACTGGGTGTGTGTTACTGCACGCGCATGAGTGTGATACTGCGCGTGAGTGTGATACTGGGTGTGTGAAACTGGGTGTAGGTGAGGATGATGCTGTGGGTGTGTGTGTAATACTGGTTGTGTGAGTTACTGCATGTGCGTGAGTGTGACACTGGGTGAGAGATACTCTGCGTGTGAGTGTGAGATATTGTGTGTGCAAGTGTGAGCACGTGTGCGTATCGTACTGTGTGTGTGATACCGTGTGAGCGTGATACCGCATGTGCCAGTGATTGTGTGTGCATGGTGCTATGTGTGTGTGATACCCGGTGTTTCTGAGTGTGGGCGTGTGAGATTCTGTATGTGTGTGACTGGGTGTGTTTGTGAGTGTGCAAGCGTGTGTCAGAGGCTGTGTGTGAGAGCAGAAGTGTGTGTGCGATGGTGAGGGGCTGTGGGAGCCCCCCCTACCTCCCCCAGAGCCGGGGGCAGAGCCATGCTGGCCGTGCCCCTTGCACACCGAGTGTGCCCCGCACACCTCCCCACGCCCGAGGGGGCTCCATCGCCCAGGCCCCTTGGGGAGAGCCGCGGGTGCCCACCACTCCCGTGTCCCCCCTTCGGCTCCCCAAACCCAGGGTAGCCCCCCAGGACGCGGGACTGGAGCAGCCCGCCAGGGCTGGGAAAGCCACGGAAAAAGAAGGATCACCTGCTGGGTTAAAGGACTTTTTAAATCGATTTTTACTGTAAAGGCAAGTAACAAAGAAAGAGATTCCTGGCTTTAAGAGGTCTGAAAGCGAGCCGAAGCGCAGGGCGGCTGTCGTTCCTCTCCCGAAAATCCTGCCGAGCGTCGGCGCCGGCGCTTTTTGGTCAGGAGGAAAGACCAGGCGCTAACGTGGCCTTGCCCTTCCTTCCTTTCGCAGCTTGGGAAATCTTATTGTGATGCCTTTCGTTAAACTCTTCATCATTTTTTTTTCGCCCATGCCTAAGGAGAGAGGCGTTGATGCCGATGCCGGGCGGTGGGTACCCAGCCCCTGCTCTCCCCCATGCCCCGAATGGCTCTGCCCCTTGCCCTGCTCCTGTTTTGGGTTTCTTCTCCCTGGCACCGCTCCTCTGCCGGCACTTGTGTGCGGGACCAGGGAGCAGCGCGCATCCCCCTCCAGAGCAGAGCACGAGCCCTGGGGTTTCCCCAGGACCGGTGACACTGGGGTCTTCTCCTGCCACCCATTCTGTAGGATCTTGGGTCCAGGATACAGAATTTGCTCCTTTTAGAGCCACGGTAGACATATGAACGCTCCCGGTATCGTTACCGTGCTTCAGCGGAGCCCGTGACACCTACGGGTAATTAATCATTTGATATGATTTTTACCACATCAGAGGTGTGGCATCTGATGAAGCTTAATGCTTCTGGATGTCATC